TTTGAATGTGGCTCTGTCTCTTCATCCATTCCTCTTGAACACTAACACAATTTTTTTAAAATTACAAATAAAGGAAATGAGAGACATGCCTCCTGTTCTGTTTTAAGGCAGGCTAATTTCATGTCATTTCTTAAGGACTGTATTTATTTTCCTTTAACCCAACAGGCCATTTCCTAATAAATCTCCACAGTGTATGTATATGTCCATCAGACTGGTTTGAAAGCTTGTCTACACCTTAGACTCAAGGGGAGCTTCAGAAAATAGTTAATGCCTGTGTCCCACCCCCTAGAGATCATGATGTCACTGAGCTGTGGTATAGTTTGGGCTTTGGAAATTTATAAAGATCCCTAAATGATTCTAATGTGTAGCTAGGTTTGAGAATCAATGTTTTTAAGGTTCTTCTTTTTTAAAAAAAATCTAATCAACTTGGGGTTCATTCCCAGCTTGGCTCATCAGAGGCATTTCCCTCATAAATTACTGTAGGGAACAACAGGAGATTAATCCTAAATCCATCCTTCTTCCTACTGTGATTGCCTTGGTCTTCATCAGGTTAATTGAAACCCCTTCTGATAAGTGCATTAATGGAGGAAATCATTAATGGAGGCTTCACTTATCTGCATGCACATTTCCTGTTCTGCTGTGTCCTCCCTCCAGTAATTTAGTTATGATTTGCATATCTTTTTTATTTTTTTCAATTCAAATGTTTTCTTACTGTATCTGAGTGGCTGACTGGGTCTGTCTACCTGCTGTCTTCACTTCTCGGTGGACAAAATTTCCCTTTCCACGAATGTCATCTTCATCTTCTGGATCTAGCCAGCCAGTTTGGCAAGCTTGTTTCAAGGGTTGCTTGGGCGACACCTCAGACTGAGACATTTCACAATTTGGAGCCAGACTTGGATGAAGCAATTCTGCACTTCTGCGTTTATCTATTCCTGTCTGACTGGGGGCAGATTGAACCTACTGTTGATTCTGTAATATAAGTAAATCCCATTAGGAACCCTCTGGTGGTTAGAGCCAATACTATATTGGCTTTCATTAGGAGCTAATGCAGATACAAACCTGAATACAAATTCTTTGGGGTCTTTTGGGCTACCCCCTGGCCCCTGGGAGTGTATGAACATCATCTCACTGTGGATCTGAATTCTAAAATGCAAACTAAGACTGCTGTTTCATCAGAGCATCGTCCCCACTTAGCATGAGTCACTGTGTTTCATCTATGTTAGCCCTCTGGGTTTATAATACCATCTGATTTCCAGGGAGTGGGGGTGACAGAAGATTAGATGCTTTCAGTCAAACAAGCATTACTGAGTCCTGGGTTGTTTTAGGCCATGTGGTGCCACAGCCCGTGACAGTCCTCATCCTCTCCCTTCTTCTGTGGTTCACTGCTTCTCTAATTGGCTAGAGCCAGGGCATCAATCCCAAGCAAGGATGAGAGTTGAAACTCACCCAGGTAATCAACAGAGGGCCAAAATCATTCTTTTCCTTTTAGGTTTAAGAACTTCTTCATTTTTTTAGTTGTTTAAATTATTTTGTTCTCTGTCTCTTTGAAGTAAGCTATTGTTACATTAAACTATCATTTCAGGTGTTTTAAAGAAATTTATCATTACTTTCATTGATTAAACTATAAAGGCATTTTCTCCCACTTTACCTTTGCTTCAGGGACCCAAGAGAAGTCCAGAAATGTGTGTGATGCCCAAGGCCACGTAACTTCTCTAGATTAGGGCAAAAATGGGACATTTCACTTATGTATTATTCATGCAGTATCACTATTAATAATAACAGAATCTATTGAGCATTTACTATGTGCCAGATACTTTGCTAAGCTCTTTCCATAATTTATTTCAATTACTTCTTGTCCCACCCTATGAAGTAGGTATTATTTATTATCCTCATTTTACATATGAGGATGTAGAAATTTAGGGAATTTAAAGATCATACAGCTATTCATAGTAAATGGTGGGATCAGAACTTGAACTTATCCTGACTGCTACAATGCTCATGTTCCTAATCTCTAGAGTCTTCTGAGATGATCTCCTTTTATGGAAATGTTATCCCTAAATCCCAGTGATATATCTTTCTATGATTTTAAAAACTAAGGCCAGAATGATTGTTGGGTTGTGAATATGAGGGATCAATAGTTTAATGCACATAATAGTCACTGGAAAAATCATTAACAATGGGTTGACTGACAAATAGCATTTCATTCACTCAGATTCTGGACTGGGCTCTAGATGTTAGGAGATGATGGAAGGGGGGCAATTTGGCCTCCTGGGGCTTCTTGAGCCACACCTGTGCCCTGTCACTGCTCATTCCAGCCCTGCCCTAAGGCTTCCTCATTTCACCAACCTCACATAAAACTGAGGGACTGGCTGCCAGGGCTGAGGACTGCTGAGGCTTTTGAAGGAAAAGACAGCAATTTCAGAAAACGAATCCTGTGGTTTAGAAAGAAATCAGCTGAACTTATGATCTGAGTTCATTTTGTTCTGTTCTATTTTTTTAAATAAAGAAAAGAGGAAAAAAAATGTTCTCGTCACAAAGAAAACAATTTTGTTAGGTCTGGAGAATTACAGTCTATGTATGAAGGCTTTAATCCTCTGAGATACCTAGATTTTGGAAGTTAAAAGGGGCCATTACAGATAACTTTTTCTTCTGAGTCCTAAATTTTACAGAAAGGGAACTGAGGCCTGGAGGAAGTTTGGGACCATATATTAATAACTGATTAGTGGAAGCTGACAACTGGTTTTCCTGCCTTTTCTATCTCAATCCTTTTTATTTCTGCTCTTTAAATGACAGGATATTCATAGGCCACTGGGAGAGAAAAGAAAACAAGATAGCTTCTGCTTCTCCAAGAAAGGTCAGTGAGAGCTCTGAAACTTCTAGAAGGAGAGTCAAATTATTTAATCTAATTTCAGGAATAGTCTTGATTTTATTAGCTGAGGGAACTGAATAAGGAGGTAAAGACCCTACAAAGCAAGATTTATTGCTGCTTTCCATGAAAGCACAGGGAAAATAAATATTGGCTTAATGGGAATTTGGGCCTATAATTTAATTCTTTGTCTCAGCTTAGAGAAACAACCCACAGACAAAAGGTCCATGGATCCTACTTGTGATCTCCTGAGCCAGTGAGGAAGGGGATCACCGGCCATTTCTCTAGGGACCCTTACAATTAGAGGTCACCTCTATAGTATGGATACCTAGAAAGGAAGAAATCTACTGGACTCTTATTGGAATGGAAAGCACGTTCAAAGGGACAATGCGAGACTCTCCTGGTGGCTCAGGGGTAAAGAATCCGACTGCCAAGGCAGGAGACATGGGTTTGATCCCTGATCTGGGAAGATCCCACGTGCTGAGGAGCAACAAGGCCGTCATGCACAACTGAGTCCCTGCGCCCACGCTCTGCAGTAGAAGCCACCACAGTGAGAAACCTCGGCGCTACAGCTAGAGGGTGACCCCTGCTCTCTGGAAGTAGAGAGAGGCCCTCGCAGCAACAAAGACCCAGCACAGCCAAAAATAAATAAATAAATAAAATTCAACAAGGAAATTTTTTTTTAAGTGCCAATGCTTCATCACCAGACCTGTGAAGTAAAGGGTAAGATTTTCTTAGAGAGAAAATCTCTAGCAAGGAGGCAGCCAGTGGCACTAATGTTAGTTCCCAGGGGAAGAGTTTGGAGGCACAGTGAAGAAAAGGAAAGAGGACTGGGGCTGTGTCAATTCAATAAGCACTTACTGGATGCTACCTGTGTATTGGGTTGGTCAAAAAGTTCGACTTTCCCATAAGATCATATGGAAAAAACCCAAATGAATTTTTTGGCCAACTCAATAGTAGGCACCAAGAGATAAATAAAACCTCCTCTGTCCCTGGAAATACTTGCAGATGAGTAGGAACTAGCAACCACAGATGAACTTGTTCCCCGGATTTCAGACACCAATATGCAAAACTGTCCCGCATCCCAGCAGCTCATTTCCATTCTGAGACCTTGTTCTGTTACAGTTGTTGGGCAGCTCAATTCACTCCTATGGGCTACAAAACTCCCCAACCAATTAGCAGCTCACAGATGTCAACCCAGCAGCTGAGTGCTGGGTGAGGAACATATAGCCAGCCAAAATCTCAGGATGCTTGAAAGGAAAAAGAGAAATTCAGAGTCAGCTGATGCACCCAGTTTTGTTCCTCAGATGTCATCAGTGCAAACAGGCAGCAGGCCCTGTCACAGCCCAGCTCAGAAATTCAGTTCTTGATGGCAGCCTCACTCTATCAAGACTTCAGCTATCGAGGAGAGGGACTGTTTGCTTGTGTTTACAAAAAAAAAAAAAAAAGCATTATCTATTATGGGACCCAATCCAGGCCAGTGCCAGTTGGATCAATCAACCTTTTAAAAATCTTTTTAGGATAAAGATTCAGCTACAGTCATGAATTAAAAATGTGAGGGATAGAAAAATAGTATACAGCTTATAGTGGTTAACACTGGGTTTAAAACCAAACTGTGACACTGTATTAATCTTGTTGAGGCCTAACAGACATTGAATAAAATTTGTTTTAACCATTTCTTTTATTATTGGTAATCATTAAAGATTATTGAATTTTGTGGAAGGTAAAAAGGAGAATGGGTTCAGTGGGGAAAGGGAACATAGGTCATGGCTAAATCAATCTTTTCAAAATTAAAAAACCCTCAGAATTTTCCACCAAAGCCTTGCATCTGATTGCTAAATATTAAACAAGTGCCTTATTGGCCAGTTTTACTCATCCCTACAGATGTACTTCCAAGTCATGAATCCTATATATACATACAAGGTAGTAGATGAGGTAAGTGGTGGTATCCATAGCTGTTAGGGTAAGTGTGTGCATCCCTGAGTGAATCACCCATTGTTCCTTTGTATTTTTACAGGTAGAGTCATGGCAAAGATTTCAGGAAACTGCAGGCAGGCCTCATGGGTGTGCCTCCAGTGCTGTTACCCAGAGCTTCCCACTCAGAAGCACCCCACACTTGAGGTTTAATGCTCACCATTCACCATCTTGAAATTGTTAGTAATTTTATCTTCGATTTCATTTCTGTAAGCGAAGTCTGTAGGACAATGGAACATGAGTCCAGGGACTGGCAGCCTTTACTTTCCTGCAGTCTTGTCTTCTAGATTTCCTGCCTCCCTGACAGATCTTGACTGTCTCTTCATGCCATTGTCACCTTCTGTTCCTGGCAGGGACCTGGACACAGGAGTGGGGAGGGTCCAAGTTGGGTGTATGCTAATGGTAGGGTGAGGGGGCAGCAGTCTCTGCTCTGGGCTCACAATGCCACAGAGGGTGGTCTCAGATCTGGGTACCAAGTGTAGCCAGCATGGAGGCTGCAATCTCCCAGGGAGGCACTTGTTGACCATGGGTTGGGGCAGCGGGCCTATGGGAAGGGGGAGGTTGATTTCCTCACTCGTGGCCAGGGCCCTACATTTTCATTTTTGCAATGGACCCTGTTGGCAAGGGGTCAACTTCAAAGACTGTGGAAATGGGGAGAACTTCTTGATACATAGAGTTTTAAACATGGCATCTAGCTTGATATAGGGCTTCCCTGGTGGCCCAGTGGTAAAGAATCCAGCTGCCAAGCAGGAGACTGGGGTTTGATCTCTGGGTTGGGAAGACCCTCTGGAGAAGGAAATAGCAACCCACGCTGGTATTCTTTCCTGGGAAATCCTATGGACAGAGGAGCATGGCGGGCTACAGTCCCTGGAGTCACAGAGTCAGACACAACTTAGCAACTAAACAACAACAACAAGCTTGATATAAAACCTGTTAGTAAATACATTAGAAGAAGAAAAGAAAGCTCCTGCTCTCAAGGGATTTACAATCTAGTTGGAAATAGATGAAACTGACAAAGATGAAATAACAAGACTTCATCAAGGAGGCAGAATTGGAGGACCACTGTCCTGAAAGTATGATTTAGGTATAGAGGAGAGGGAGGAAGTGCTCCAAATTGTAGGGAAGCCCGTGCGCCCTCAGAACTTAAGCTGATTCGATGACTGTTGAATATTTTTGGTTCAAGGCCATTCACTCACAGCATTCCAAGGGCAGGACTGTCCTGGTAAGAAGGGAAGATGTGGGAGCAGTCATGGCTGATGTGGACCATGGAATGAGAGGCCTGATGGAACAGAAGGATTGCAACTAAGGTGGGAGGCTCACTGCATGGAACTGAACTCTATCAGGTAGAGGAGAGAAAATGGGTTAAGAGCCTCCCTTTCCATTTCTATCTGCACTGAGGTGCATATAGCAGGCTGCTACTATTCAACACAGTAGGCCACCCCAAGCTCTTCCTAGACCAGCTAAGAGAGAATAAAGGGAAATGACCTTGTGCTTAAGATGAAATGAACTCGAATTTCACAGGGAGCTCAACGATGAGGGGAAAAAGCAAATATTCTCTGGTGAAGGTTGACTTAATTAGCTATTTTAATAATTCATGAGTCTTTAAAATGTTTGCCAGAAGCTTCAGAGCTCAGATTCTGCTTCTGGTGTTTAGCTCTGGGTTTTCTCCATCACAGATTGTGCTGCCTCATGAATCAACAGGAGCCTGGGAGTGTGAGGCCTGGTTGGCCAGACCCTGCACAATCCTTAACCCTTTGGGGCTTAAAGCCTCTTTGCAAATCTGATGAAAGGTCTGCACCCCTGCCCTAGGAAAATGTTTGTACATACAAATTTGGGGCTTTACAGATTCCTCTGAGGTCTACCTTGAACTCCAGCTTAAGAATCCTTGATTTATAAGATCTCTAGGGACTCGAACATTCTCTTTTAACTTACCCACAAGCTGCTGTGTCGGTGTGTTACCTGGAAATGCTGTGACTCCTGGGCTTGCAGGCAAGCAGCCTCCTGTGGCTGTTTTTTGCAAAGTGAGAGATGGGAACTGCAGTATCTGTTCATCAGGCTGAAGTAACAGCGCTAATGCAGAAAAGAACTGAACGAATCAAAAGCTGTGAGTCAGCTCCCTCCCCGCCACCTGCTAGCAGGAAGCCTGCTGGGGCTGAGGGGGTGAGCTCCAGAGTCAGACCGCCTGGAGCTCCCAAATCCCAGTTCACTCATTTTCTGGCTGTGATTTGGGGGAACCACCTAACCTTTCTTAGCCTCAGTTTCCTCATTTGTAAAATGGGGCCAATCAGATTCAGCCTGTTTTCTCATGTTCTGAGTAAACCACCCTCCATAAACCTCATCATGTACAGGGCCTGGGCCACCAGCGCTCAGAAAACGGAGCTCGTACCCCTCATTCCACCCACAATGAAGAAGGGTGCTGTGAATTTGGGAACACCTTCTTGATTGAATGTGGGGAAGGGGACAGACTGAGGAGTGGCCAGGAGCTCTCTCTCTGAACCCTTGCCTGTAGGGAGCCTCTCCCTTCCTCCACCCTCCAGACGACTCCCCTCAGGGAAGGTAGAGGGGTGGAGCTCAGGAGCCAGCGGTCTGCAGTCGCTCCTCGCCTCCTCTCCGCCTCTGCTCAGGTGCGCGGAGGCTGCAGGAAAGGATGGAGGGAGATACTGGGCTTTTTCTGGCTGCCGGCCTGACTGCTGCAGAAGAGAGAGAGAGAGAAGAGAGCGATGGCTTCTTTCTCCTCTGCTCTGAGCAGGCAGCTGCGTGGGATTCAGGAGGCCACAGAGACGCTGGGCTGATCTTGGGGGACCTGCAGAGCTGGGCAGGCCGTAGCTTCTGCTCCCAAGGACCTTGCAACATTGACGTGGAAATGAGACAAGCCCCAGGAAGGGGGATGACAAAGGGCTGCCTTGCTGGATGCAGAACGTCCTGTCCAATAGAGTCCGGGAAGGGTGGGGACGGTGAGGGCAGGATGCTGGAAAACAGGTTTCTGCGGTGCCAGGCGGTCGACTCTAGCTCTCACAGTCCCCCTCCAGCATAGACCCTGTTACCCTTCACGATGCAGCAAGGAAGCGAGGAAGCTGAGTAGGTGACTCAATCCAGGGCCACCGCTGTTCCGTGGTGCCAGAGCATTCAAACCACGTTTACCTGCCTCTGAAACGCCTTGCCCTCATTCCTCCGCCCGGTTAGCTAGATGAGGCGGGAGGCGTCCGTAACCCTAACCCGAGGCCGGCCAGGCCCTTGCCAGCTGCCTAGAGCGCTGCGCACGCCCGGAGTCTGGCTCGGTAAATATTTGCCCTGGGATCAGGAAGGGGAGAATGCTCCTTTCTCGGCTCTCGGCAGCTCTGGGCAGTTCACGTGCGCTGTTTACCGTTCCTACCACATTCCCCAGCGAGGAATCCTCCTGCCTCCCTTCCCTCCGCCGCAGATCAGGCGGAGTGGACTGGAGGGCTGTGCCTGGCTCTCTGAGAGCAGGTCTCAGACCTGCCTGGGACCGCCCCAGGTCTCATTTGTCTTATTTCAAATCGCAACCTCTACCTGAAAATCCTAGTTAAGAAAAAATACCTCACCGCATTTAACAAGGCCGACTTAGGAGGAATAAATGTTTTGAGGCCTTTGCAGCCCCAGCGCGGAGGAAGACTGCCTGTGTTTTAGCTCCTAGAAAGGAGGGCAGGTTGCATTTACCAGGGGAAGCCTGCATCCCACAGGCTGACAGTGGATCAGTGAGAAGCAGGTCTACAGCCGGCAGCCTCAGGCACGCTCCAGCCGGGCTTGGGCTTCTGCTGAACAGGAACCCTGTCATCATCCTAGGGAATTTTCTGAGCCATCTCCTGATCTAATTTGTAGTTGGTGATGTGAGTGCGTTACCCAATGCTGGGTGCTAAGGAAAGAGCAAAATGAGACCCTCTCCATTCATTTCCAGCCATTGATTTGATGACGTTGATGGACTATGATTTTTAAATGGAAAGGGCTTTGTCATCACGATTTTTCAATAAAATTCTAGCACAGCTCTTTATTTCCTAAGGCCCTAGGGATCTTTTCTACCATATTGGGTATGACATATTCCCCAGGGTCAGCTTTTTATTTCATTGCCATTTTAAGGGTATCAGAGCATGTGGCTAGAATTTACATATAAATAATAGATTTCTGGATGGTAAAAGCTTGTATTATTACTTACACTTAGTAATGTCCCTCTGGATGGTAAAAAAAAAAAAAGCATAATATTAATTTTTCTTGCTGTCACTTGACAATATGAATTGATTTTGTGTAAGGACCAGGAGCTCACTGGATTGAATTTAGGAAATTGCTAAGACAAATTTGACTTCAGTGGGTTTGAATGATTACAATGTAATAAACATATAAAGGCGAGGGAGCTAATTTATCACTGCTTTCAGTTTTATTTATTTGAGATTGCTTCATCCTTGGTATAAATAGGCTTTATTAAAGATTATGGATTCAATTTCCAAATGACCTATAAATGGCTTTCTATCGAGAGATTACTTGATTTGTTGGTTTCCTGAATAAAACATGTTTTTGCCCAGTGGGTTATATAGCCCATATATTAATATTAGAAGCTTATTCTCTTGAGCTTGGCATCTCTGATGTGCAACGTTTGATTTGTTCTCTGATCTATTTGTCTTCACTCTCTTTAATACACTGAGATGGAATGCATAACCTCTTAGGACCTGCACTTCAATGAATCATAAGAAAATATCTGTCTGTGTGGCAGTTCATCATCTGAATGATAATTCTGGTTCTCTTTAAAAATGTTAAAGTGTCTGCTCTTCAAAATAGACTGCAGTGAAAGGCATGAAAACTGCTGTGGGTCACTGATGGGGAACCATAATTGACCTCAGCTTTGGTCGCATGGTAACAGACTCCCTGGGTATTAGATCACTGCATACCACAGAATTACCAACACACTGCCCACAAAGTCAGAGGAAATTTCTGCATTTGCAATTCAGAAAGCTCCATAGAGCAGACCCTTGTAGAGGAGAGCCAGCCTGTCAGGAGAGCTGGAGCTTCTAGGAAGATGGCAAAAGGGCCCTCTAGAAGCCCACCATGTTGTAAAAACCAGTTCAATTTCAGTCCTTTCACAAAGGGGTTGTAACTTTCACAGCCCTACTGACTAATGAAAACACTGATGGGAAAATTAATTGATATATATGAAGCATCTCTGAATGCTGAGACTGGGGAGGACCTTGGGAGGTCATTTATTTTCATTTTCTGGAGGCCAGTTGGCATATTTTAATGTTTTAGAGCTATTGTCTGAAGGGTTGAGAAAGAGAAATGCCTAAAGAGGGAAGATTCTACTTCTCTCCAGGAAATGCCATTTGTTGCTTTGTAATTTTACTACATAATAAAGCTCCAGATTGAAGGATACAAAGTTCCAGTGGAAAGGAAGTCATCACCCAATGTCAGTTTTGGAAGAAATGATTCTACTTGTTGGTGACAGTAACATGATCATTCCATGATTCAACAACTTTAAAGTGGTCTCCAGTGAGGAGACTTGGGTGTCTCAGATCAAACTAAATTGGGCCACAGACCAAACTGGTTTTAAATGTATTGACTTTAAGATTTTAAGTTGACTGAATAACTCCAAAGTCTAACAAAGGAATACAAATAGTTAAACTATGCACTCATAAAGGTGTTGAGATCTAGGAGTGGGTCAGTGCACACTAGTGCAATGAAAACAAATCAAATTCCCATCTTAAGGGAGCCTACCCCTAGATGGAGAAGTTGGTGA